TGAGGATGGTGAAAGGAAACTTTGGCTGTGTACACACCGTAGATTTAAAGTACACACATGCTGCTTGTTGTTGTTGTTGTTTAGTTGTTTAGTCGTGTCCGACTCTTCGTGACCCCATGGACCAGAGCACGCCAGGCACTCCTGTCTTCCACTGCCTCCCTCAGTTTGGTCAAGCTCATGCTGGTAGCTTTGAGAACACTGTCCAGCCATCTCGTCCTCTGTCGTCCCCTTCTCCTTGTGCCCTCCATCTTTCCCAACATCAGGGTCTTTTCCAGGGAGTCTTCTCTTCTCATGAGGTGGCCAAAGTATTGGAGCCTCAGCTTCACGATCTGTCCTTCCAGTGAGCACTCAGGGCTGATTTCCTTCAGAATGGAGAGGTTTGATCTTCTTGCAGTCCATGGGACTCTCAAGAGTCTCCTCCAGCACCATAATTCAAAAGCATCAATTCTTCGGCGATCAGCCTGCTTTACGGTCCAGCTCTCACTTCCATACATCACTAATGGGAAAACCATGCACCCAGCTTATTAAAGGTGCTGGGAATTGTAATGTTGGAAGGGGCAAATGCCTCTGAATTTGCTGAGAATCACAGGTGGAGACAGCTGCTTTTGCACTTACGTAGGCTCTGCTTCCAGGCTTCCTATGGACCTCTGGGTGGCTGCCGGGAGAACAGAATGCAACTGAAAATTGATTCCACGCCCTCTCCCCCACCAGTTTCTCTGCCTCTGCAGTAAAGCAATCCCATAATACTATCCTCAAAAGGAGTGATTGATTTCCATGGAGCTGCTGGGTGAGTGGGTAAATAAACCAGAACATATTTCAAGCCCCACCTTGCTCTCAAACTGCAGCCACAAAGTTCAGTTTTTATTCTTCCAGCAATAAATCAGATTCAGTACACAACTACTGCTGGGAAAATGAGAGCCCTGTAGAGATAGGAGCTCCTCCTCCTCCTCCTCCTCCTCCTCCTCCTCTTCAGTAAAGTTTATTATTATTATTTCATTTTATAAGGTATATAAAATAGAGAGAACAATTCTAACAGCCGGCCAGAATTAAAAGATGGTAAACAAAACTATATAATAGGCATATAGGGTTGGTAGCGGTGCATGAGTTAAAAATAGCAAAGTTTGCTGTACAGTAGTACCTCAGGTTAAGTACTTAATTCGTTCCGGATGTCCGTTCTTAACCTGAAACTGTTCTTAACCTGAAGCACCACTTTAGCTAATGGGGCCTCCTGCTGCTGCCGTGCTGCCAGAGCCCAATTTCTTTTCTTATCCTGAAGCAAAGTTCTTAACCTGAGGTAATATTTCTGGGTTAGCGGAGTCTGTAACCTGAAGTGTATGTAACCTGAAGCGTATGTAACCTGAGTTACCACTGTATATGTCATAAAGGAATGCCAAAAGATATAAATAGTGTTGGGCACTTTGATTCTTCCCTGCTGAAAATGGCAGGATACAGATTAAATGAAAACCACAATTACAATTACAAGTGAAGGGTTATGCCCTCTCCTGCAAAGTGCTTTCCATCCATCTTTCTGAGCACCAAAGATCACGCAATGAGCTGCGCAGGACCTTGTTTTTAAACATTTCTTGCCACGCAGGTTGCTATGTAACTTGTGAGGAAATATTCAAGTTGGCATGCTTATTTGTACGTTTCCCGTCAAAACAAATCAACACAGAATCTTGGCTTCAGCGCACTAGCTGTGGAAATGCCCTACTCGTTCAGTAGGATTGGAAGCATTATAATTACAGTTGTGGCACACGGTATGAAGAGTACTTAAAGCCACGCATGACACAACTTTCATTTTCCCCAGCCTACATTTCTTTTCATTTGGTTATCTCTTGAAGTTCTCAACACCATTGCTGGCAAGGAGAAATCAGTCTGGGCTCAATCCAAGCGTTGCTTGTTGAAACCTATATTTGGGGCACTCACTTCCAATAATCTACCTCCTCTAAAGAAACAATCCTATTGTATGAAGATATTATCCTACTGTGAACGGCCCGCCCTGTGACCTGTGAGTACAGGGTGTTATAAAAAATAAATAATAAGAATAATAATGGGGCTATTTCGTCTCTCATACCTTTCCATCTATTTTAGCAATGGGTCAGACTATTAGCTCAATATTGTCTACTACGGCGTTTCGGGAAGGGAGTTCCTCAAAGTCTTACCTGGAGATTAGGGACTGAACCTGGAACCGTCTGCAGACAAAGCTACAGCCGTCCAGCTTCCCATTTGTTCTTCCTCCATTCTTTAGATACACCACTTCCATGGCATCACAGTGATGCACCTTTTATTGCATCATTAAGCCAGTGCCATGTAATGGGGAAGGATAAATTATATATTGTGCCAGTCTTCCAAAGCACACACAGAAGAGGCAGAGAAACTATAAACTACCAACTGGGAAAAGCACTCCAGTTTAGAAGGGACGTGGGTGGTGCTGTGGGTTAAACCACAGAGCCTAGGACTTGCCGATCAGAAGGTCAGCGGTTTGAATCCCTACGACGGGGTGAGCTCCCGTTGCTCGGTCCCTGCTCCTGCCAACCTAGCAGTTCGAAAGCACGTCAAAGTGCAAGTAGATAAATAGGTACCACTCTGGCGGGATGGTAAACAGCGTTTCCGTGCACTGCTCTGGTTCGCCAGAAGTGGCTTAGTCATGCTGGCCACATGACCCGGAAGTTGTACGCCAGCTCCTTCGGCCAATAAAGCGAGATGAGCACTGCAACACCAGAGTCGGCCGAGACTGGACCTAATGGTCAGGGGTCCCTTTACCTTTACCTTTACTCCAGTTTAGCTTGCAGTGTTCATGGAGTGAGGATTCTGAAATGGCAGCCTTAGAAGACATGCTGACAAAGGAGGCTGAAAGGCCACCCTGACATATTTAGTCAAAAGCTGGTGGGACTGATGCCTCGAGGGCTTGATTTGTACATTTTCTCAGCATGAGATGAGTGTGGCATGAGAACCACCAGGAAACTATGGTAATGAACAACATGGACTCCAAACCATGCAGTGCTGTCTTCTCAACAACCACTGTAAAGGCTATAAAAACAGCTGTTTGTGGCAAAACAACTCACCCATGAGCCCTCCTGGAAATACACAAGTTAAACATCCCTGGTGGTCACTTTGAGACAACCTGGTTATTGAGCAACTGTCCTGATTCGTTTGTGCAAAGCTTGTGAGATTGCATGCTCATCCTGTTTTGTCTGTGGGGAGGGTTGTGCAATGGATCTTGCGAGCTGGACCCTTATTTCCCCCCAGCCATTGTGGGACAGGTTTGACAGGGGGATGGGTCCACAGGGGGATGGGTTCCCCCCTGTTAATCACCTGATGTTGCAGAGCCCAGTGTGGTGCATAGTGCTTTGAAACGTTGATGATCAGATGACTCTTGGAGCTTCAAAATGCTGGCCAGAGCCCTCTACAATGACTAGCTGGTTGTTTGCAATGTTTAGCTGATTGTCGGGCCTTGCAAAGAGCCATTCAGGGCGCTACAGACAGGATGTGCAGGTTCAGCTGAACTGCAGTGTCTGCAAACCCTTTTGGCTCAGCTACATCTTGACCTGCCCCACACCTGACATAGGCAAAGATCAGAAGATGACCTGGATGGTCGCCAGATTCTGTGTACAGATCTGTAGGTGCAGACCATCGCCCAACTCAAAATAGTCCGGCATGAGAAGCCCCAAACACGGTTCCATGGGTGATTCTAAGTCAACTCCCTGGGACAGTTTATTGTTGTACATTGTTGCTAAATTTAGTGTTGTACATTGTTTTAATTGTCTGTTTAAACCATATTTGCACAGCAGTTTCTAATGTTGTGGGTGTCCTCCATTTAAGAGGCTTCTACTCTGCAGCCTCTTACAGTTGTTTTAACTGCGTGTCTTTGTTTGTTTTTAGTTCTTATCTGTTTTAATTATCAGTTTTTTATCCATCCATTATCCGTGTTTAACCTTGTATTTTATCCAGAAGTTTTATCCTATACCTGTTTCCTTGTCCTCGTTTGCTCTAACAATTATCGGTTAAAATAATCCTAACTGCTATTTTATCTATATGCTTTTTTAAAATTCTGGTCTGAGACCGTAATAAAGTTCATTCACACCTGACATCATATATGTATGGCAGTCCAGGCAGGTGGGTGTGACCTGGCCTGACCAAAATGGCCTTGAGGGCCAAATGGGGAGATTCCCCACTGCTGCTATATGATGTCACATCAAGCAGTTGTTTGCCCCACACTTTCCAATCACTTTTATTTTACTGGGGCGCAGGGGAAAACCTGATTTATTTTGGAAGTGAATTCCGTTGTGCAAGAGCAGAAAATCCATTTCTGCTGGGCGACCTAAATTTGCCACTTGAATCCCATCTGCAAAACAGCTACGGTCTGGAAGTGTTGGAGCTCTTCTCTTTCCCCCCATGCCAATATTTAGATAAGTAAAAGTAGGTAACCCCGATAATAGTTCCTGTGGCGTGACTACAAAAGTGAGCTGTAGCTTGCTGAAACACAGCCAATATTCAAAGCTTTCACTTTGAATACATTCAAATTCTGAGAACAGCAATTAAGGGATTTCAGCTTTGGCTGAGCTTCTGTTTCCTCCTGATCCATATTAGCAAATAACCATCCCTCTCTTCTTGCAGGCATCTTTAGAAAACTATTTTGTTTACGCAGGCCCCTGCAATGTGAATGTTCTCTTTTTCAAAGGCCAACTGGTATTTAATTATGCTTCTAATAGATGCTTTTTTACCGATTTTGTGACTGCATGCTGTATGCCGCTTTGATGTGTTAGCAGGAAAGTGCTGATGATAAATATGCAAATAAATAATAACCCCTTTGCCTCCTGCTGCTCCTAGCACAGGCTGTCATGTTTGTGCTCTGTGGATGGGTGCCAATGTTTAAGTTAGTTTCTCCTACTGCAGCTACCAAACCTCACGCTGTTACTCAATTTCTCTTACCAACACCTTAACTAGGGCCTTGTGGGTACATTCGCAAAGTCATCAGTCTTTGACCCAAAGAGAATAGTGGAACATGTAGCTCAGTGGTAGAACACCTGATCTTATATACAGAAGGTCCCAGGTGCAATCTCTGGTGTCTCCAGTTAAGGCTGACAGGGTAAAAAGGTAAAGGACCCCCGGATGGTTAAGTCCAGTCGAAGACGACTATGGGGTTGCGGCGCTCATCTTGCTTTCAGGCTGAGGGAGCCAGCCTTTGTCCACAGACAGTTTTCTGGGACTAAACCGCTTCTGGTGCAACAGGACACCGTGATGGAAACAGAGTGCATGGGAATGCTGTTTACCTTCCCTCCACAATGGTACCTACTTATCTACTTGCACTGGCGTGCTTTCAAACTGCTAGGTTGGCAGGAGCTGGGACAGAGCAACGGGAGCTCACCCTGTTGCGGGGATTCAAACCGCCGACCTTCCGATCAGCAAGCCCAAGAGGCTCTGTGGTTTAGACCACAAGGCTGACAGACTCCTTCCCCAAACCCTGGAGAGCCACTGCCTATCAATGTAGACAATATAAAAGCAGGTGAACCATTGGTTTGACTCAGTATAAAGTCCCGTATTTTTCGCTCTATAAGACGCACCAGACCACAAAACACACCTAGTTTTTGGAGGAGGAAAACAAGAAAAAAAATATTCTGAATCTCAGAAGCCAGAACAGCAAGAGGGATTGCTACGCAGTGAAATCAGCAATCCCTCTTGCTGTTCTGGCTTCTGGGATAGCTGCGCAGCCTGCATTCACTCCATAAGATGCACACACATTTCCCCTTACTTTTTAAGGAGGGAAAAAGTGAGTCTTATAGAGCAAAAAATACGGTAGTTTTCTGTGAGACACCTCTGCCAAGGCAATAACAGCAATGAGGAGCTTCCACATCGCTCTCCCTCCCCATGTCCCTCCAGCACATCCAATGGTTTCCTCCACCTCCACAGTCACTTTCAAGAGCTGCTGCTGTAGCCTGCCTGTCCCCACCCCAATTTTATGCTATATAAACTGCTGCGAGAACTTTCTTCTGTAACGCAATGGATGTAAGCGTTCTAAATGAGAAAAGCTGGTGTTGACAGAGGAGGAATCAACCTCATCAGCAAGTTTCTTCATAGCACCTGTTCCCTGGTTTTCATCAGCACTCTTGATGCCCTAAAAAAGGGAGGAGTTTGTGTGACAACCTTGGGCAGGTGAGGTGAGCCTCACCTGTAAGCGTTGAAGGAAAACATCTGGCCTGGCAGTCTTTTCCCAGGGCTAACATGGGAATCAAGGCAACCCCAAAAAGGATTTCTTTCCTACCTATTGAGCTTAGGGCTGTTAAGTTTTGTGTTTGTTCCCCAGTGCAAGAGGCTGCATTTTAAGAAGAGTTTTGGGATTTGATATCCCGCCTTTCACTCCCCTTCAGGAGTCTCAAAGCGGCTAACATTCTCCTTTCCCTTCCTCCCCCACAACAAACACTCTGTGAGGTGAGTGGGGCTGAGAGACTTCAAGGAAGTGTGACTGGCCCAGGGTCACCCAGCAGCTGCATGTGGAGAAGCGGGGAATCAAACCCAGTTCACCAGATTACGAGACTACCGCTCTTAACCACTACACCACACTGGCTCTCGGTATTTTAAGAACCAGAAGGTCCCTATAGAAGTGGGTCTGATTATTTCTTGGTTGAGGTGAAAAAACAGTTGAACTTAGCAAACTTGGTACTGGAGGGTGGAACTGTTGAAGTTCAAAGCCTTGTGATCTTACCATGCTGCAGGCTTGATAAGCAGCAGGTGCTTTGAGGCAGGTTCAGAGGGCCCCCAAAGGTGGGTTTGGCTACTTCCCCCCCATTTTTACAGATATATTTCGCAAAATGTCATTGACACAATAATAGTGCAATAGTGGTGGATTCATACTGGACTGTCCACACATTATTCCGCTTTGTTCATGGTTCTATGATGCTCTAAAATAAATTAATAAATAATAATAATAATAATAATAATAATAATAATAATTTATTTATACACTGCCCATCTAGCTGGGTTTCCCCAGCCACTCTGGGCGGCTTCCAACAAAATATTAAAATGCAGTAATGCATCAAAAATTAAAAGCTTCCCTAAACAGGGCTGCCTTGTTCTCTTTCACATCTGGTGGGAGGGCGTTCCACAGGGCGGGTGCCACTACCGAGAAGGCCCTCTGTCTGGTTCCCTGCAACTTGGCTTCTCACAGTGAGGGAACTGTCAGCAGGCCCTTAGCACTGAACCTCAGTGTCCGGGCAGAACGATAGGGGTGGAGACAAAAAAATAACATAAACCACAACATCTGTAGTATAAAAAAAAAAAGTTGCAGGATTTCAGCAGGGTGTTATGGGACATGCATGGATTGGAAATGAAGAAGTGCGCCCGCTCCAAAACTTTTGCTGGCACAAATGGTATTGGAAGTGGGATTGTGTACAACTGCTGTGATTTCAGCAAGCCTGGCCAGTAATAAAGGATATGGGAGTTGCAGTCCACCAGCATATAGAGGACCAAAGGGAGCCACTCCTCCATCAGTGTCTCCTGGTTATACATAAATGGTTTCTTTGGGTCTATTTATCTTTTCTCCCTGATGCTGTTTAGCCAGCCAGCAAATCTTTTCCAGGTAGTAAGGGGTTTACAATCTGGACCTTGGTTGTTGGGAGGGGAGGAACCTGCGGCGACCACTTAGAAATTTCATGCATGAAGGACTTTATGAGTATTTGCTTAAGTTACAATTCCAATGGTACCAAGTTGTGTCCAGATCACCACCTCATTATATCAACACGGATATTATCAGTTTATGCAACCTGAGGATGTTTACCAGATTCCTGCTGGAGGCTTATTAGCTGCATGCTCAACTTATCCTTCCTGGCTTGCAAAATCTTTCCGGGTGGAGCTAGCTGGCTGGGATTATGGAAATTGATAATGGGTGCATGAACAAGGATGACAGACCAGCCACATTAAAATGAGACTACTGGAGGCTTGTATTGTTTATTTTCAAAGTTCTCATGAGATTCCCTCAGAGCTCAATAATTACTATTGAGTCGTAAATATTCCACACTTGGGCAAGTTGCTCAGGTGGAGTTTCAGTCCCAAAGCATCATGTTCTGGTCACCTTGGTGAAGGGGGTAGGGGACTTATGGTGGTCCTATCATCCCTGACATGCTCAGTAAAGTTGCTTTAGTATAGAAGCAGGCTTAGAAGGGGCACGTGACCCTGTTAGGTTCTCCTAGACCAGGGGGTCAGCAAACATTTTAGTAGGGTACCAGTTCACTGTCCCTCAGACCTTGTGGGGGGCCGGACTATACAGTCATACCTCGGGTTGAAGTAGCTTCGGGATATTTTCGGGTTGCGCTCCGCGGCGACCCGGAAGTAATGGAGTGTGTGACTTCTGGGTTTCGCCGCTCGCGCATGCGCAGACGATCAAAATGACGTCACGTGCATGCGTGGAAGCGGCAAATCGCGACCCGCGCACACGCAGACACGAATGGGGCTCCAGAATAGATCCGGTTTGCATCCAGAGGTACCACTGTATTTTGAAAAATAATGAACAAATTTTCCTATGCCCCACAAATAACCCAGAGATGCATTTTAAATAAAAGGACACATTCTACTCATGCTGATTCCTGGACCGTCTGCGGGCTGGATTTAGAATGCGATGAGGCCGGATTTGGTCCCTGGGCCTTAGTTTGCCTACCCATGTCCTACGTAGACCATTCAGCAGCTTTCAACACCATGGCACATGGTATTCTTTCAAGCCACCCTGGCAGATTAGCAAATGGAGAGCACAGTGCTGAAACACATCAAGTTATTCCTGGTTGCAGAACGTGCTAGTAGGAGTCTGCTATGCCCAGCGCCCTATAAGGTACCACAGGCACGCCTGTTGTCTCCTGTGCCACTTTACATGAAAGGAGTAAAAGATTTGGACCCAGGTACGACTGGTATGGCTAAAGAACCGAGTTAGTTTGCTTTCTTTTAAATTGGAGTATGATTGTGAACCGAGACCCCAAGGTTGTTCCTTCATTCTTATCCAATACACTTTCAAACTTAATCTAGGCAAGACACAGGTGGTATTGAATTGGTGATCCAAGAATAAGTGCATAGCCAGCTCGTTTTGGGATGGGTTGCTCCCCTCTTCAAAAGCAAGGTTTGCTGTTTTGGGTGTTCTGTTGGGTCCAATATGCCCACTGCTACATCTGCACACCTATATGCAAACAGTATCTTTTAAGATACTGTTTTTGCTACAGTAACATCCAGCTTGGACTGCTTTCACATATCTAGGGTTAGGTTTGAAAGTTTTTGCTGTTACTCACTGGGGTATGCTGCAGAAACAACTCTATGCTGTAAACCAGTGATGGCCAAACTTGGCCCTCCAAGCTGTTTTGGGACTACAACTCCCATCATCCCTAGCTAACAGGACCAGTGGTCAGGGATAATGGGAATTGTAGCCCCAAAAGAGCTGGAGGGCAAAGTTTGGCCATCACTGCTGTAAACACATGGACTACCAAAATGTTAAACTTCCAAGTGTGCCATAGTCGCCAACTAACACCACTCCCAATTGCCCTACTTTCAAGAAGTCACGGGGCTGCATCCAGCTATGTCATACTCGTTGAAGATCCAATTAAAGTCTTGTCCACACACACCTGCTGAATGGGAGCAAATGCCAACTGGGTTTTCTGTAGATTGGTGCTTGCTCCCATTCAATGGTAAAGAGCAGGTTTTCCCGGCGAAAGTGGTGGGGCAAACAGAAAACCGGTTGGATCCGTACTTTCTAGGAATGAGACAAGCAAAAGTGTGCATGAGTCCAAAGTCAATGCGTTCAAGTTGGCCAGACCCAATTAATTCAGTGGATCTACTCAACAGTGTGACTTAAGGGCCTTTTCAGTTGACCCAATCATAACCCCCCATTGCTTCTGTATCATCCCAATAGCCTATCTGTGAAGATTGGCATTAGCCCCATAGTTGTCAACCGTCCCTTATTTGGCGGGAAACTCCCTTATCCCAGCGCTGTGTCCCTCTGCTGTCCCTTATTGATGATGTCCCTTCAATTTCCCAGGTTTCAAAGGAAGCAGCTCCTCTCCCTCCCTCCCTGCCGGCCAGGGAGGAGGGAGGCTCCAACTG